ATGGCATGTGGACGGGCGGGGGGGGCAACAGCCCATAGGCCTGTTTCGGTACTAATCGATTAAGCTCACTGGATACTGCTACTGGAGGGTGATAAATAACAGCAAACAGGGAGAATATACGCCACATGAGGCTGTAAGGGTGGATTATCCTATTACACTCATGCAAAGCAATAAAATGAATCACAACTGAAATGAATAAAGCAAGCTAGAAAACAAAATGTGGGAGAGTGAAATTAGGAATTAAAAATTCAATTTGCCGACGGCTGGATCCATTATTAATTTGTCCAAAGACAGCTCTGCAATTTAAATCCAGAAGAGGTTTCTCAGCCATGATGGGCTATTTCTCCAGCTAGCCGTGGTGTGTACGGGTGGTGGGAGAACACTGAACAGTTATGAAAGCGCTCTCTCTCTCTCTCTCTCTCTCTCTCTCTCTCTCTCTCTCTCAGAGCAGGCCAGATGCAGGTTGCTATTCAAGACTTCTGACAAAATCTCTTTCATTTAATGGCTTCTCTTTCTCTCCCTTTCTCTCTCTTTCCTTCCCTCACACCTTCCCTTTGAACTGTCCATGTTGTACCTGTCTGGTGTGACTTCTAGAGAGGGCCAGTGGGGGCTGAGTAAGGTCCGATGGCTGGACAGATGGCCCTCCAAGTCACTGTCAGGGGCTTCCACACCAGCTGGTACGCCCCCCCCCCCCCCCCGCCATACCCCTCCGCCCCTCTACCCCTCTGCCTCACCCTGCAGGGGGTCCCAGCTTGATTAGGCAGAATTAATGATGTTCCTGTGTGTGTGTATCGGAAAGGCTCAGAGAGGAGCTCAGAGCTCAAAACACTGGCTGTATTTACTGTTAAACTTTCTCCCATTCTGATGGTAATGTGAGTTCCTTCTGGCCCATCCAGCTAGGCGTTCCCTAAGGTGCCTGAACAGGCTGCCTCACAGAGGGGAGATCAGCACGCCTGTTTGATGGTCGCCACGTCACTCACAAGACGCTTCAAAGGCCTTGCAGAAGACGGGGTTGAGTTAACCAATGTGCCAGGTAGCATCCCAAATGGTGTCCTATTCCCTTTATAGTGCACTACATTTGGTAGGGCTTTGGTCAAAAGTAGTGTACTATCTAGGGGATAGGGTGCCATTTGGGATGCGGCGCCAGTCTACTGTTTGTATAGCCATTCATTTAGGAGTGGCCACAATCTGTTTCAGAGGACAACGTCAACAAGGAAATCATTTGGATGTGCTTTTAAGATGAGGGATTTATCAATCACAAAGGCTTCACAGTTGGTGTTCTAAATCCAATGCAGGTTTCAGTTCCCCCATTTAGACACTTCAGCACGATGGTTCAGTCTCAAACCCTGGAAGCGTCCTGAATGGCACCCTATTCCCTATATAGTGCATTCATTCAGGGCCCATAGGGCTCTGGTCAAAAGTAGTGCACTATATAGGGAATAGGGTGCCATTGGGCCCTGATGAAAAGTAGTGCACTATTTTGGGAATAGGGTGCCATTTGGGATGCACCCACTGTCATCTTATTCACACTCAATGTTTTGGCAGCCATTTTACAGCCGTTTCCCAGTGTGAGTGACATACTCCTACGACATAATCAGCAGATGAGTTCTAGGTAGTGATCCAGCCAGCTCCACTCTGGGTGCTCTTTATCACACATCTAGTGCTGCTCCTCGCATTTCCTTCCTTCCTTTAACTGATGTTCTATTCGTCTCTGTGACAGAACCATGTGCATGGGAGTATTTGCGTGTGTGTGTATGTGTGTGTGTGTGTGTGCCTGTGTGTATAGCAGGGACCATCAACTAGATTCAGCCGCAGGACAATTGTTTCTTGAGCGGATGGTCAGGGGGCCGGAACATAATTACAAATGTTTTTTTAACCAGGTAAGTTGACTGAGAACACATTCTCATTTACAGCAACGACCTGGGGAATAGTTACAGGGGAGATGAATGAGCCAATTGGAAACTGGGGATGATTAGATGGCCATGATGGCATGAGGGACAGATTGGGAATTTAGCCAGGACACCGGGGTTAACACCCATACTCTTACAATAAGTGCTATGGGATCTTTAGTGACCACAGAGAGTCAGGACACCCGTTTAATGTCCCATCCGAAAGACGGCACCCTACACAGGGCAATGTCCCCAATCACTGCCCTGGGGCATTGGGCTTATTTTTTTTAATGTTTTTTTTTTTTAGATCAGAGGAAAAGGTGCCTCCTACTGGCCCTCCAACACCACTTCCAGCAGCATCTGGTCTCCCAGGGACCGACCAGGACCAACCCTGCTTAGCTTCAGAGGCAAGCCAGCAGTAGGATGCAGGGTGGTATGCTGACAGCTTCCTACTATTATCACCTGACAGCTTATCAATCAGAGCCCCATGCTAATGCAAATGTACCCTCTCTGTCAGACACACACACACACACACACACACACACACACACAAACAGATATATAATATTTGACTAAAACATAATCATTTCAAACCTTGCTAACATTTGTATACGATCACATACTGTATACAGTATCTCTCTATGCATGGAAACAGATTTCCAAAATTCAAATCACTTGGAGCTGATTTGCTGGTGTTTTTACAGTCTTTGATGTCCAACAATGGGGGGGGTCAAATAAAATCACCTGCGGGCCAAATGAGTCCCATTGGCCGCCAGTTGGGTAACCCTGGTATATAGTATGTGTGTCAGCAGAACATGCAGTGATCTGGAGGGGTTAGGTTTAAATCTAAACTAGAGGAACTGGGAGGGTCCAATTAGAGTCCCCTACGAGGCACTTAGAGAGAGAGAGAGAGAGAGAGAGAGAGAGAGAGAGAGAGAGAGAGAGAGAGAGAGAGAGAGAGAGAGAGAGAGAGAGAGTCTGAGTGTCTGAACTGGTTGGCTGGCTGGCTTAGCTCACATCCAAGTCCTGGAGGCTGTGTGTGTCTAAAGCAGGCCTGGCATCTGGACCTGTCAATTCCCGTAACAGTAGCAGGCCTGCTCCAAATAGCCCCATTGTTAGCCAACAGCCACAATATATGCTGGTAATGAGTGTGTGAACATGGATTTGATTATGCACTCCCCTGAGTTGGGGAGTCAGTGGTGTGGGCTTGAGTGGGACTATGGTGTATTATATACAGTGGCTAAGGTTGGTCTAGGTGTGTGTGTGTGTATGTTTATGTGTGTGTGTGTGGAGGGAGGGAGATGGTGGATTTTGGAAAGCGGACCCCGTCTGGAGGGGGACAGAGTGGGAGCTGGGTAATTGTGGTTCCACCTGGAGCGATCAGTTTGTGCCTTGGCCCCAGTGTGTAATTGTTGCCTGTGTGTGAAAGACAGGGTCTGCCTCCCAAATGGCACCCTATCCCGGTATCCCCTATATGCTCTGGTCAACAGTAGTGCACTATGTAGGGAATAGGGTGCCATTTGGGACGCGTGCAGGGTGACTGCTTCCTGCTATTATCACCTGACAGCTTATCAATCAGAGACCCACTCTAATGCAAATGTGCCCTCTCTGTCAGACACACACACACACACACACACACACACTGCTGTCTTCACAGACAAAGAGCTTCCTTTGTGTCTCCAGCAGGACAGAGAGGTCTGATGAGTGTCACTGTGTCTGTTGTTAGAAAATGGATGATCTTGTGTGTATGAGTGTGTGAACGAGTGTGTGAACGGGTGTGTGTATGAGTGTGTGAACGGGTGTGTGAACGGGTGTGTGAACGAGTGTGTGTATGATTGTGTGAACGGGTGTGTGTATGAGTGTGTGAACGGGTGTGTGTATGAGTGTGTGTATGAGTGTGTGAACGGGTCTGTGTATGAGTGTGTGAACGGGTGTGTGTATGAGTGTGTGTATGAGTGTGTGTATGAGTGTGTGAACGGGTGTGTGAACGAGTGTGTGAACGGGTGTGTGTATGAGTGTGTGAACGGGTGTGTGTATGAGTGTGTGAACGGGTGTGTGTATGAGTGTGTGAACGGGTGTGTGTATGAGTGTGTGAACGGGTGTGTGAACGAGTGTGTGAACGGGTGTGTGTATGAGTGTGTGAACGGGTGTGTGAACGAGTGTGTGAACGGGTGTGTGAGGAGAGAGGGCCTGTGCATGCCCAAGCTGGTTCGTGTTTGGTCGCTCACTCTTGCTCCTTAGTTCCTTTTTCTTCTGTTACATAACCATCTCACTTTAAGACGCCCACCATTTTTCACTGGTGCTTTTACTGTTAGTGTCAGCACGCACCCCTGCCAGTGCCTTCAGCAGGGGAAGCAGAGGAGAGCAGCCTAATCACAGGATAACACAGGATTGGCCTGTGACTGAGTTATTCAGCAGAGACTGGAGCAGAGCCTGTGTTAACTGCCAGATAGGACAGGTGAGACAGTCTGTAGAGTGCTGCTATGCACATGATGAGGACAGAGAGGGAGGGAGAGGGACGGAGAGGGAGACAGAGAGGGAGACGGAGAGGGAGAGGGAGACGGAGAGGGAGACGGAGAGGGAGACGTAGATGGAGACATAGAGGCAGACGGAGAGGAAGACGGAGAGGCAGACGGAGAGGCAGACGGAGAGGCAGATGGAGAGGGAGACAGAGAGGGAGACAGAGAGGAAGACGGAGAGGGAGACGGAGAGGGAGACGGAGAGGGAGACGGAGAGGCAGACGGAGAGGCAGACGGAGAGGCAGACGGAGAGGGAGACAGAGAGGAAGACGGAGAGGAAGACAGAGAGGGAGATGGAGAGGGAGAAGGAGAGGGAGGGAGGGAGCGCTGCTACTGGGACTGGGGCTGTCCAAGGGGACATTACAGCAATGACTTGCATTTATGTAACAAATATTGTTCTACAGCTCAATGCGCTTTACATTGTATACGGCTAACTCACCCCTTCCACCATCAATGTACAAGTGGTGCATGTACTGCACAGTGCATTGATGTACTGTTTGAGATAGGACATACAATATTTGACCATGTCTGCATGTGACAGATCATGTGACAGATCATGTGACAGAGAAATTATCCATCTGCTGTCACTTTTTCACCACTGGGTCGGTGACATGCAAAGTGTGTGTGTAATTGATGTTGGCGTGTGTGGTACATACCTGTCGCAGTGGTTACACTTGAAGGGCTTGGCCCCGGTGTGTTTGCGATAGTGCCTTGTCAGCTCGTCGCTCCGGGCGAAACGCCACTCACAGCCCTCCCAGGAGCACTTGTATGGTTTCTCACCTGACAAGACAGACAGAGAAAAGAAAACGTTACACTTTAAACAGCGGTGACCTAAATACAACAGTTATTTTATGTTTTAAGGTGGGAATAGTGAGTTGTAAACTGCTATAACATCATCACCAAGCAGCCACAGATGAGCTCCTCCCAGCTAGTTAATGTCCCTGTGTTACAGAAGTTACCCAGGCCAGGATAACACACCCAGGCTTAGTTACCGCAGTGTTTAACATCACCCAATCATGTCAATTAGCCAGCCTGGGACTCCGAGAGTTCGCTAAATGAAGTCTTTCAGCGAAGCCATATTAATTCATAATCCTAAAACTAAAATCACCGTGAAAATGAAACGTTTTTTTCCCTCCTCTCCTCTACACTCCCCTCTTCCTCCTCTCCTCTCTGCTCCCCTCTTCCTCCTCTCCTCTCTGCTCCCTGACCCCCTGCGGAGAGATCTGAAATTCTAATGAATTTTCTCCCCAGTTGAACAGATGGGAGAGGGAGATATCTATTGTTCACATGCTGTATTTTTATCTCCCTGGTGAAAAAAAATCCCTTTTGGGATGTGAAAGGGGGGTGCAGCAGGGTGCGGGGGGGGGTGTCCGGACCCTGAGGTACCCCTCCTGGGGACCAGGCTGGCTGTGTTCGAATGGGCCTAGACCTGGTGGGTGGTGGGTAGGAGGGGGCTAAATTCGGAGAGGGTTTTGGGGTGGCACCCACCCTGGTGCTGCCGAGCGCTGCTGCCGTGGTTGATTCAGATCCGGGGGTGGTAACGATAATTGGGGTCTTAATGACGCTTAATGGGAAGTAATACCGTACTTCCAGTCAGCCAGCTGCCACCGCCTCCCCTGATCACCATGTCTACCAATCTTCCTAACTAGACTAAAGTGCCATAAAGTGAAATCTAAGCGGCTCAATCGGGAGAGCAGTGGTACGTCCAAATCACAGGCGACAGTGGGAGACAGAGGAAGCAGAGAGTGAGGAGAGAGGAGGGTCCCTATACTGTCAGGCTGTGTGTGGAGGGGCGAATGGAGGTGAATGGAGGCGAATGGAGGTGGGGATGGTACTCTACAGAACACAGCTCTGGTGATGCTCAGAATCACACCGAGGATGTGACGAGGTGTGAAGGAAGGAGTCAGGTGCAGGAGGTAAAATACCGAAGTCCAGAGTTTAATACGTTTGCATAAATCAAACGCTCCAAGCATCAAATGAAACTGTACAAGGGAAAACATCCACCTTGGCAATAACACAGTGAAATGTAGCTCAACCGAGCTACACGCTCTTACAACAAAACAATCACAAGGGGAACAGAGGGAACACTTATACACATACTAATTAGGGGAATGAGCACCAGGTGTGTGTGATTGACAAGACAAGTGGAGTGATGAGAATGGGACCGGCAGTAGCTAGTACTCCGGTGACGACGAACGCCGAAGCCTGCCCGAACCAGGAGGGTGGGCAGAATCTGCGGAAGTCGTGACAGAGGAGCTTTTCCTTTTAATCCCCAAAGTAAATGGAAAAGCGTGTTTTCTCATTTCCTCCAGTAGAATTAAAGAATAAACGTATGGAAAATGTCCTTATGTTTGAAAATGACCATGGTAAAATATATTCTGCTGATTTGCAGCAATGTACTGTGTAGAGTACTGCATATGTTGATTTAAGTCATTTAAGCCAATTCTGCTACAAACATCTGCTACAAAAGGTGTTGATTAGTAGTAGAAATGTCAGTGATTTCATTGCCAAAAGTAAATCCGAGGCAACCCCAGCAGCAGACGGTAAAGGATGATGCGGTTTTGTTTTACATAATGGAGTGCACTGTGGAATCTGCTGCGAGCGCGATGATGCAACTGAAAGTAAAGGATGACGTGGCGGAGGAGGAGAGGAGAGAACAGAGTGATGCAACGCACGTCCCCCCATCCTTCCATTTCTCCTCTACATCCCCCACTCCCCCATCCTTCCATTTCTCCTCTACACCCCCCATTCCCCCATCCTTCCATTTCTCCTCTACACCCCCCATTCCCCCATCCTTCCATTTCTCCTCTACACCCCCCATTCCCCCATCCTTCCATTTCTCCTCTACACCCCCCACTCCCCCCATCCTCCATGTTGTAAGATGAGATGGGAATAGAACAGGCACATGGACTGTGAGTGCTACCTTTTTATTTCCCATTCTCTTTTCTCATTCCGTTTATTTTTTAGATATTATTTGATCCATTGTCTGTGGTGAGATTGTGGTAGTGTGACACAGATTTCAGGGAAGAAACACCTCAGGATCATCTGCTGTGCTTTCCTTTCTGTGTTTTGAATATTATTCAAATCAGTAGAAGGCATTCTGGGTACTGGGTAATGACCCTGTACTGGCTGCTGTTTGAGCAAGAGGGTGTATCCAAAATGGCACCCTATTCCCTATATAGTGCACTACTTTTGATCAGAGCCCTATGCGTAGTGCACTATATAGGGAAAAGAGTGCCATTTCGGACGAAGCCAGAGATACGGCAACACCTCAGCACTGAATCAGCAACACACCACTTTACAGCCAGATTCCACTTGACACACTCCACACAACACTCCTCTACCTCTGGGGTGAACACATGAACGCAACACATTCTGAACATCTGCCTGCCTCTGCCCCTTGATACACTCATAAACATTTTGCCAAAAGACCTGAAGGTTTTTATTTGCCCATTCTCCTCCATTGTGTAAAACCCGTAGCAGATCATATCCCCAGACAGTGTTGCCTTGTCATGAGAGCCTGCTATGCAGGCAGGCAGACAGGCAGGCAGGGATAGAGGCAGGCATGGAGGGAGAGATAGAGGCAGGCAGGGAGGGAGAGATAGATAGAGACAGGGAGGGAGAGAGAGAGGCAGACAGGGAGGGAGAGATAGAGGCAGACAGGGAGGGAGAGATAGAGGCAGGCAGGGAGGGAGAGATAGATAGAGACAGGGAGGGAGAGAGAGAGGCAGACAGGGAGGGAGAGATAGAGAGAGAGACAGGGAGGGAGAGATAGAGAGAGAGACAGGGAGGGAGAGAGAGAGGCAGACAGGGAGGGAGAGATAGAGGCAGACAGGCAGGCAGGGATAGAGGCAGGCAGGGAGGGAGAGATAGAGGCAGACAGGGAGGGAGAGATAGAGGCAGACAGGGAGGGAGGGAGAGATAGAGACAGGGAGGGAGGGAGAGATAGAGGCAGGGAGGGAGGGAGATAGAGGCAGGCAGGGAGGGAGAGATAGAGACAGACAGGGAGGGAGGGAGAGATAGAGGCAGACAGGCAGGGAGGGAGAGCTAGAGGCAGGCAGGGAGGGAGAGATAGAGGCAGACAGGGAGGGAGGGAGAGATAGAGGCAGACAGGGAGGGAGAGATAGAGGCAGACAGGGAGGGAGGGAGAGCTAGAGGCAGACAGGCAGGCAGGGATAGAGGCAGGCAGGGAGGGAGGGAGAGATAGAGGCAGACAGGCAAGGGAGATAGAGGCAGGCAGGGGAGGAGAGATAGAGGTAGGGAGGGAGGGAGAGATAGAGGCAGGAGGGAGGGAAGATAGAGGCAGGGAGGGAGGGAGAGATAGAAGCAGGAGGGAGGGAGAGATAGAGGCAGGGAGGGAGGGGAAGATGAGGCAGGGAGGGAGGGAGAGATAGAGGCAGGCAGGGAGGGAGAGATAGAGGCAGACAGGGTAGGGAGGGAGAGATAGAGGCAGACAGGGAGGGAGAGATAGAGGCAGCAGGGCGGGAGGGAGAGATAGAGGCAGGTGAGGGAGGGAGGAGATAGAGGCAGGCAGGGAGAGATAGAGGCAGACAGGGAGGGAGGGAGAGATAGAGGCAGACAGGGAGGGAGAGATAGAGGCAGGCAGGGAGGGAGAGATAGAGGCAGACAGGGAGGGAGGGAGAGATAGAGGCAGACAGGGAGGGAGGGAGAGATAGAGGCAGACAGGGAGGGAGGGAGAGATAGAGGCAGGCAGGAGGGAGATGGCAGACAGGGAGATGGGGAGAGGATAGAGGCAGACAGGGAGGGAGAGATAGAGGCAGACAGGGAGGGAGAGATTAGAGCAGACAGGGAGGGGAGATGAGAGATAGAGGCAGACAGGAGGAGGGAGAGATAGAGGCAGGCAAGGGAGGGAGATAGATAGAGGCAGACAGGGAGGGAGGGAGAGATAGAGGCCCGGAGGGAGGGAGGATAGAGGCAGACAGGAGGGGGGGAGATAGAGGCAGACAGGGAGGGAGGGAGAGATAGAGGCAGACAGGGAGGGAGGGAGAGATAGAGACAGGGAGGGAGGGTAGAGACAGACAGGGCGGGCGGGAGAGGATAGAGGCTGAAAGGGAGTGAGGGCGAGTAGAGGAAGGCAGGGAGGGAGAGATAGAGGACAGGACAGGCAGGGAGGGAGAGATAGAGGCAGACAGGGCAGGTGAGGGAGAGATAGAGGTGACATGCAGGGAGAGAGGCATGGGACAGGCAGGGAGGGAGAGATTAGAGCAGACAGGGGAGGGAGGGAGAGAGAGACAGACAGACAGGGAGGGAAGAGATAGAGGAGGTAGGCAGGGAGAGATAGAGGCAGGCAGGGATGGAGGGAGGGAGATAGAGGCAGGAACGGGAGGGCGACGGAGGATAGATAGAGCCAGGACAAGGAGGGAGGAAGAGATAGAGGCAGACAGCGGGGAGGGAGAGATAGCGGAAGACGGGGGAGAGGTAGAGGCAGACAGGCAGGGAGGGAGAGATAGAGGCAGAAAGGCAGGAGGGAGAGATAGAGGCAGGGACAGGAAGGAGGCGATAGAGGCAGACAGCAGGGAGGGAGAGATAGCGGCTGACAGGGAGGGGGAGCGATAGGGCGACAGGGAGGGAGAGATGGATAGAGGCACAGACAGGGAGGGAGGGAGGGAGAGATAGAGGCCGACAGGGGGGAGGATAGGGCAGACAGGAGGTTAGATGGGCGGACAGGGAGTGGAGGGAGAGATAGAGGACAGACAGGGAGTGAGGGGAGATAGGCAGACAGGGCAGGGAGGGGAGGGATAGGGCAGGACGGTGGCAGGTAGGGAGAGCTAGAGGCAGACAGGCAGGCAGGCAGTCAGGCATCAAGGACCGCTCTCTGTCATTTTGGAGAGTCTTGGGGTCACAGGTGCGAGACAGTAAACGTTTCACACCCCTTCCCCAGTAATTGGCCAAAGCTCCCACTCCTCTCCTCCTCTCCTCCTCTCCTCCTCTCCACTACCATCAGCACCTCCCCTTCGCATTTCCCCTCCCTCCCTCTGTCCCTCTCTCCCTCCCTCCCTTCTCCCCCTCTCCAGACTTGACAGAATGAAGTAGGGCCGGCTTGGACCCACCGCCATAGTGCCACGGCAACCACTATGCCAGCCAATTATAACTCGGCGAAGTGAGGATGCATGATGGAGTCGCCTAGTAACCGGACGAGAGAGAGAGTTTGTGTGAGAGAGAGAGAGAGGCGTGCAGCCGGCTGAATCCGCCAGCCATGGACACTCAGCACCACCAGCCAATTATGGCTCTGCTCTGGATGAGTCTAATACAGTTGCCTGGCAACCCAAATCCCCAAAAAAGAGAGCAGGTTGGGGTGGCTTGGAGGTTTTTTTGGGGGTGGGGGGGAAGCTGGATTTAGGGGGTGGGTGGTGTTGGGGGCAGGGCTAGTTGGAATGGGCAGCACTTTGTTGAAACAGGCTGAGACTGGTACCAGGAGCCACAAATAATCAGGCAATTACGGACTCTACTCTCGCCTGTTTCTGATATGGTCTCCTAGCAACGCACCCCCTCTGCCTCATCACCCCCCCCACCCCCTCCCACCAGCATCACAGGTGCCTGTGTTCTGCAGTTAATTACATTTCCTCAGTCAACTGGAGATAGAGCGTAGGGCCTATTATGATCTCTCAGCTCTCAGCTGAACTTACAGCAGACAGACTGACACAATTATGGCCCATTTCACATTTCCTAGAGTTTCATCCATGCAGCAGCTCCCATCTCCCTAAACCAAACCATCCATTCCCAACACCAGAGGAGTGAAGATAGGAACATGGTGGGTGGGTTTCTGTTCTGACTGCCCACATTCTAGAACACTGTTAAACTCATAGAATTAGAATCACTAGAATAGTCCTAGTCGGTATTAGATAGGACATCACGGCCCTGCCCGCTTGTGGGGGAAACAACCTGTGGTTACCTAGGTTACCCCATTGGCTCACAGCAAATACTTTACCTTTTTCAAATGCAATTTTCTTGTTGTCTGCTTGTTTTAGTCAATTACAAAACTACCTTTAAAGATTACTTTTCAACATTGCCTGCTCCCGAGCGTTTTCACTACATAGAAACACGTAATATTGTAGGGCTTCCCTCATGCCCCTTTTCATGATGGTCCTAGCAGCCACGTGAGTGAGCTACCCAAGACCAACAACACAAACAAACGGACTATACAGCTACCAGTAGTGAGTGGAGGTTCAAACGGACAATACTAAACAAGTTAAATGTCTTACCTGTGATTAAATGTTTTCCACACACATAGCTACGTGTAGCCTACTTGGACACCGGGTCCTCAAATTTCCCACTCTCACACGCCGAATAGCCTGAAGTCACAGGGCTTTTCTCGTAGGCTCTATTTCCCTATGTGTGAGCATTGCGAACAGTAGGTTGGGATTTTTGACCTGGTTACATGTACATTGAACAACACAGCATATTTTTGGCATGTTTTGTTATTTCAAAAAAATCGACGACGAAGCTGGCTCTTTTACAATGGGGGTCAATAGGAAAGAATGTTTGTTTTCCCCAATTTGTGGATGTGGTTGAGGGGAATTCCTTATTATTACGTGAATATCAACTTGGCGTATGGACATTCTAATTCTATGGTTATTAAACCTCAGTGAAAGGCTGTGTGTTTCCTTATGGACTGTCCGAACAGAAGCTGCTATTGATGGGGCCATCCAGGAGCATGTCATCCCCATGCAGCAAGGCTCCCTTAAAGGCCCAGTGCATTCAAAAACTGGATTTTCCTGTGTTTTTATATATTTCCCACACTTTGAGGTTGGAATAATACTGTGAAATTATGTAAATTATGATAATGCCCTTTTAGTGTAAGAGCTGTTTGAAAAGGCTGCCTGTAATTTCAGCCAGTTTTGGTAGAAGAGAGTTCCAAACCTCTCTGCCAATAACAGCTAATTTTCAGTTTTCGCCTCCCCACTCGGACCACTCCCAGACATTCCTAGCAAAATTAATGCTTGAGAAATTGCTCTTTTGCTCTTTTTAATTGAAAATAATCACAGCAAGGTACTTAATTGTTACCCCGAAATGATTTGATATTGAGATAAAAACGGCAGCATTGGAACTTTAAATCCTGCACTAATCTTAATCTCCCTCCCTGTGTGTCACTGACGTATGGACATTATAACCAAAAAAGGGAAGTGGGCTAATTACATCCCTGTACTGCACTGCTCTTGTCTTGTAATGAACATATCAGGGCCGGAGCTACACAGCTACACAGCAGCATGATGCAGTTATCTCTTCCATCCCTCACTCATTTCTTTCCCTCCTCCCATTTTAGTGGTGGTGAAGAAGGAAGGGGCGAACGAACGCCTTGATGATTAGCATCGCTAGCGCTGTAGCGCGCGGCAGCGATGAAACCTGCCGAGTCAACAGCAGGCCTCAGGAGAAGGATTAGCGGCACTAACATTGATGCTAGCGCTACTACGACTAATGCTAAGGGGAGGACACGTTAGCCTGGGACTTCTCTCTCTCTCTCTGGTTCACGGGGAGGGCAGCGGTGGTCAGACCGTAGTATGCGCTCCAGCAGGTATATCTCACTGGTCATCCCCAAAGCCAACACGTCCTTTGGCCGCCATTCCTTCAAGTTCTCTGCTGCCAATGACTGTAACGAATTGCAAAAATCTCTGAAGCTGGAGACTCTTATCTCCCTCACTAACTTTAAGCATCAGTTGTCAGAGCACCTTACCGATCACTGCACCTGTACACAGCCCATCTGAAATTAGCCCACCCAACTACCTCATCCCTATATTGTTATTTATTTTGCTCATTTGCACCCCAGTATCTCTATTTGCACATAATCTCTTGCACATCTAGCATTCCAGTGTTAATACTAATTGTAATTATTTTGCACTATAGCCTATTTATTGCCTTATCTCCATAACTTGCTACATTTGCACACACTGTATATATATTTTCTGTTGTATTTTTTTGACTTTATGTTTTGTTTACCCCATATGTAACACTGTGTTGTTGTTTTTATCGCACTGCTTTGCTTTATCTTGGCCAGGTCGCAGTTGTAAATGAGAACTTGTTCTCAACTGGCTTACCTGGTTAAATAAAGGTGAAATAAAATAAAATAAAATAAGATACTCCAGGCTGCAGCAGATATGGCTGAATTTGCACTGAGACTCCATTTAGACCTGTCAGTCTATCAATCATCTGGCAATTACCATATCACTCCCTCGCTGGCAGCTTGTGGATGGAGAGACTAGTTTCAGTTAGAGACTCAATAGAGTCACTGAGGTGAATGGGAGAGGCATCAATGCAGAGCTGACATTTTTAGCTCATATGAAGGAACTCACACTGGGAGATAGAGGGATCGATCAATACTGCCTCATTGTTTCTACTTCATAAAAATGGATTGCAATCCTTACACTTACCCCAATCAAGCTGAGAACTGATAGCCAAACAGATGTTTTCAGGCAGTGCGTTAAAACCTAAACCTATCTTCTTTCTGTTTTCAGGCAGAGCGTTAAAACCTAAACCTATCATCTTTCTGTTTTCAGGCAGAGCGTTAAAACCTAAACCTATCATCTTTCTGAGTCTTGTGTTAGGTGCATGTTGCACCTGTGTTACTGTAGGTGCATGGCCAGGCTAGACAGTTTTCAGGCAGTGTGTTTGGTGCATGATGCATGGTACACAGTGCACAAGGTCAAGACCTATAGGTTCTGTCTCACCTGTGTGTGTCCTCTGGTGTGCCTTCAGATGGGAACTCTTGGTGTAAACCTTCCTGCAGCCGTTGAACTGGCAGCGATGGACTCTCTTCTTGTTCTCTGGGATATCTCCCCCCAGCGACCCAGACCCCTGCTCGCTGTCGCTGTGTGCCCCCCTGCTGGGCGGCGAGGGTAGCGTGGCGTGCATGGCCACCAGCTTGGCTGCGTTTAGACCAACCTTCTTGGCCACCAGTTTGAGCGTGAGCGTGCCGTCGGCCGTAGCAGTGAGAGTCTGCGTGGGCTTGACCAGGTGGCGGCCCAGCTCCGGCGAGGAGGGCGGCGTGAGGGAGGTGACGGCACTCAGCTGGGCAGCGTTGACTCCGTTGACCCCCTCCTTGGTGGTCTTTGCTCCAGACTCTTTTCCAGAGGCCTTGGTGTTGTGGGGGTGTGGGGCCTGTAGGACCTTGGGGAGGGAGACGAGGAGGGGAGGGGGGCTGGGCTGGTCGGGGAGGTTGGGGAGGAGGGGGTCCAGTGGGTCCAGGGGATCCATCAGGTCACTGTCAGCACCCTGCATGAAGGCAGGCGTCAGGAGGCAGTCAAGCTCCTCGTCAAACAGCTCTGATAGACGCTTGGGCTCCGTCTGCAGGTACCGCTCCAACTCCAAACACGTCTGTAAGAGAGAGAGAGAGACACGGTCAGAAACAGGAACAGTACAGGAGAAAACCCCTCTTTCATAATCTACACATATCATTCAAGGGAGAGACAAGGTCACTCAGTCAGAAACAGGGACCCATGGTCAGCACGGACACAACAGCCTCACCATAATACTCCCTAAACCACACATACCAAACTACAGATTAGATCAGCCCTATATGAAACAATGGATCATATCAACCCTATATGAAACAACAGATCATATCAACCCTATATGAAACACTGTCAACATGAGTGATTCAGCTGACAGCCACACCCTCCATATCATATGACAACTGACTAGATACACATCCAGCTCTGCTAATCTAACCACCATCACAATCTGACTAGATACACATCCTGCTCTGCTAATCTAACCACCATCACAATCTGACTAGATACACATCCTGCTCTGCTAATCTAACCACCATCATAATCTGACTAGATACACATCCTGCTCTGCTAATCTAACCACCATCACAATCTGACTATCATTTCCTCACATCACACCAGTATGGTCCAGTGGTCCAACCGCTCCAGAGAGAGAGGCAATGTGGACCATGTCACCCCTGCCCCCAGGTGGACCATGTCACCTGCCTCTAGCCGAGCCCAGTGAGAGAGGGGATTACTTGTTTTTCTGATTGATTGCTGGCCAATGTTTCCCTCCACTCTGCTTTACCAGGGGCGCGCAATACACCAGCCGTGGAAGTGTTATCGAGGCCAGAGACGGGGGCGGGAAGGAGGAGAGAGATGGAGAGAGAGGGAGGAGAGAGTGAGAGAGAGACAGAGAGAGAGAGGAGCGAGAGAGAGAGGAGGAGAGAGAGAGAGAGGAGAGGAGAGAGAGAGAGAGAGTGGAGAGAGAGAGGGAGAGATGAGCGAGCGGAGAGGACAGGAGAGAGAGAGTGCGAGAGGGAGAGTGAGAGAGAGGACAAGGACGAAGACGAGAGAGAGAGAGAGAGAGAGAGAGAGAGAGAGAGTAGTCCACCAAAGCTGTGAACGATCTGAGAGGCAAGAAGGCTCTTGATACAAAGGAACATACAATTCGAATACCAGTAGGACCTGGCTAAAATACTTGAATCAGTTCAAAGAATTCCAGGCCCCTTTATGTAGTGAGGTTCTGGGGTCCGCCTCACAAACCAACAATTCACCAAAAATGGGACAAACACCAAATTGAGACTCTGCATGCAGAATTCTGCAAAAATATCCTCAGTGTACAACGAAAACCCCCAAATAATAAAGAGCAGAATTAGGCTGATACCCACTAATTATCAAAATCCAGAAAAGAGCCGTTAAATTCTATAACAACTTAAAAGGAAGCGATTCCCAAACCTTCCATAACAAAGCCATCACCTACAGAGAGATCAACCTGGAGAAGAGTCCCCTAAGCAAGCTGGTCCTGGGGCTCTGTTCACAAACACAAACAGACCCCACAGAGTGCCAGGACAACAACACATTTAGATCCAACCAAATCATGAGAAAACAAAAAGAGAATTACTTGACACATTGGAAAGAATTAACAAAAAAAACTGAGCAAACTAGAATGCTATTTGGCCCCAAACAGAGAGTCCACAGTGGCATAATACCTGACCACTTTGACTGACCCAAACTATAGGTTAATTTGCATAATTTAGTGGAATTAAATTGGTGCGTGTGTACAGTATATTTGTTATGTATCTTATTTATCACACGCATACATCACACAGATAGAGAGCCTTTGAGCTGAAAATCTGTCAGACAGCAGGAGAGCTGCAGCTGCTGCATCTCAAACAGTAAATGCATAAGCAACAGAAGGCGGGCTTCATCAGCGCGTCACACACCACTTTGCAATGAGCTGGAGGCAGTTTGCCTTTTGAAAACATATACATCATTATTTGAAACCTGAAAGTTCTATGACATATTATGAGGCATGTCTTAACTTGCTTCAATGTAGCCTCGCCAAAATCAGACCACACACACACACACACACACATACGCTTGTGTTCATTTTCTGCTAGGGCTTCATCAGAATGAGCAATGCCTTGCCATGAGGGGAAAATAGAGAGCTGAGTAGAGCACGGCTCACTGATTGTCCACTCAGCACATTCTTCAGAATGATTCTACAATATTGTTGTGCAGTGACAGTGGCCAGTTGAGATATTAGAGTGTTCTGTTTGGCATGACACAGCTAAAGGACTTTGGCAGAGAGAGGGGACCGGAATGAAGTCAAACCTTCCGGCACTTTAATCCAGGTCATCAGTGCAAATTATAGCTGCCTTATAGCTGGCATATTTATATTATCTTAACTTCAGAAACACTGGGGCACGATGTATCTAAAGGTATGCAGCACTTCTAGTCAGCTTGGTCCCCTGTGGTTACAGTTAAGCTACCCCCCTGTGACAAAACCAGCAGGACAAATTTTAGTTGGGTGTCTGTTGTAGGATGATAAGCTTTGATTTTTGCTAGTTTTACTTCTGTTTTAAAATAACATATTTTTTCCTACGGAGGCACATTTGCATTTGAGCATAAATCAAAGAGCTTTCTTTGGAGGGAGGGGGGGGGGTGTTTCTAACATCATTTTGGCTGATAAGCATTGTGTAGATATAGTGCGACGAAACAGTAACAAAGTCCTTTGTAAACGTTAGCTGACAGTTGTGTTAAGGCTTTGGGTGAGTCCTTTGTCCAGCTCGTTGCTATGATTTAACACTTTCTTTTCAGTAATTGTAATGTGTAATACAATCTGCAGTCAGGCATGGCCAAGCAGGGACATTTGATTTATTTCCTGTTAACATTGGATCAATCACTAATACATTGTGAAAGCAACATTGGAGATAGGACTAGCCATGGCCCCTGCTTGCCAAGTGACCATTGAGTTAGTTAGAACAGCTCTTTAAGAGTACTCAACTGTGACTAGGCCCACCGTATGGTCAGTGATGCACCTCAGGGGCTGAACAGGGGAAGGTAATATTACATGCATATCCAGCAGGATTTCATGTCTGACCTTTATGTTTTTTATATGCAATGACTATCAGGTAACACACACACTTCCTGACACACGCACACACACACACAGACACACACAAACACAATAACACACACACACACACACAAACACACACTCACACACTCACACACACATCCTGCAGGGGGATGGATCAGTGCAGTGTGGGAGCTTGCTGGCTCGTGACTTTGGCTGCTAGCGTGAGTAGGTCCTTGCTTCGCCCCACAACATACGGATAAAGGTCATATCATACTAACTGCACCACTCACTGTGCTGCGGCTCAAAACACATTAAGCCCTGCATGGCCATGCATAAACCAGGTTCGGCATTCATAGGACTATATATTGTGTGTGTGTGTGTGTGTGTGTGAGCGAGTGTGTGTGTCACAGTGTGTGTGTCGCTACATCCATCACTACATCTACAGCTAACTGTTATTACAGAGAGAACCACGGCCATGACTACATCTACAGCTAACTGTTATTACAGAGAGGACCACGGCCATGACTACATCTACAGCTAACTGTTATTACAGAGAGGACCACGGCCATCACTACATCTACAGCTAACTGTTATTACAGAGAGGACCACGGCCATCACTACATCTACAGCTAACTGTTATTACAGAGAGGACCACGGCCAATACTACATCTACAGCTAACTGTTATTACAGAGAGGACCACGGCCATCACTACATCTACAGCTAACTGTTATTACAGAGAGGACCATGGCCATCACTACATCTACAGCTAACTGTTATTACAGAGAGGACCACGGCCATCACTACATCTACAGCTAACTGTTATTACAGAGAGGACCACGGCCATCACTACATCTACAGCTAACTGTTATTACAGAGAGGACCACGGCCATCACTACATCTACAGCTAACTGTTATTACAGAGAGGACCACGGCCATCACTACATCTACAGCTAATTGTTATTACAGAGAGGACCACGGCCATCAGTACATCTACAGCTAACTGTTATTACAGAGAGGACCACGGCCATCAGTACATCTACAGCTAACTGTTATTACAGAGAGGACCACGGCCATCACTACATCTACAGCTAACTGTTATTACAGAGAGGACCCACGGCCATCACTACATCTACAGCTAACTGTTATTACAGAGAGGACCCACGGCCATCACTACATCTACAGCTAACTGTTATTACAGAGAGGACCACGGCCATCACTACATCTACAGCTAACTGTTATTACAGAGAGGACCACGGCCATCACTAACATCTACAGCTAACTGTTATTACAGAGAGGACCACGGCCATCACTACATCTACAGCTAACTGTTATTACAGAGAGGACCACGGCCATCACTACATCTACAGCTAACTGTTATTACTTTTATTACACTGGACACCAGCTGGACTCCAACTACACACAAAGGGGAAATTATCACCAGTCTGTTCCAAATGGCACCCTATTCCCTTTATAGTGCACTACTTGAGAGGCTAACAATAGGGCTCTGGTCAAAAGTAGTGCACTATATATGGAATAGGGTGCCATTTCGGATGAACACCACCAATATTCCGACTTGGTTACTCTCAATGTCCTGGCACCCTGCTCAGGCATAATACAGTCATCACATTATCTAAGCTAATGCCTTCATATTATCTCTCTCTCGCATCTAGGAGTGTGTATTTCTCTCTCTCTCCCCTCTGGGGTTGAAATTCTCTCTCATACAAATAGGTTTAATTAAAGGTCTTTGGCTTTCATCAGACGCTGTTTGAAGCTCTACCTCTTGATTTCCTCTCTTCTCTCTCTCTCCTCTCCTCTCTCTCTCATCTCTCTCTCTCTCCACATTCTCTCTCTCCTCTCCCCCCTCTCTCGCCCTCTTCTCTCTCTTTTCCTCTCCTCTCTCTCTTTTTTTTTCCCTCTCTCTCTCTCTTCTCTGCTCTCCCCTCTCCCCCCTCTCTCCTCTCTCTCTCCCTACACAGCATGCATTGACGAGTAATTAGCCAATCAAACGACCCAGTAAAGAGATACTCTTTATTCAGCTAATTTTCTGATGGGAAGCCTATATGTGTGTGTGTGTGTGTGTGTTGTGTGTGTGTGTGTGTGT